AAGTACCTCCCTACAGTGGCTGCCACAGCCTCCTATTCTGCTTGCTGAGGGGGCGCTTGTGAGGCCCTTGCAGCTGCTTCTGGGCTTTGCAGGTCACACAGGCTGGTGAAGGCTCCCAGCATGCAGGCTTTCTGACCTCAGGAGTTTCATGTAGGTTGGGTGCACTCAGAGGTGTGAAACTGAGGAACACCAGAAAAGGCTTCATGTCGATGGCCTGCTACATCTCTTGGTTCTACCATTTGGACTTGAGGGTCCTCCTGTCCCACAAACAAGTGAGACTGAAGGGAGGAAGAGAGGGGAGGGAAAGGGGCAGCTACAGGGAGGGATGTGGGAAATATGGGGGGGAACCAAGGTGGTCACAGGTACCCTCACCTGGAAACTGAGGAAAGGCTCAGCCTAGGCCCCCCACCCCCCAGGCCTGCCTGCAGTATCCCAACCTATGCAGGTGCTCAAGTTCTCCAGTCAAGACAAGAATGCCTGCTTGTCCCATCTCACTAGGAGTCGTGGCTAAGTTGTTGGGGTTTCCTACCTAGGGGAAGCTCCTGGGCCCTGGACCCTCCTGTGGGGCCTCCCAGCCTTCTAACTGCTGTTGGGCTGGCCAAGAACTAGGTAATGGGCTCCTGGGATTTCTGTCCCCCTCATCTAGGCTGAATGAGCCAAATCAAGACTCTGCGGCCTCCTCTCTGTCACTGCTCATCTCTGACCTGAAAAGTTCAGGGACTGAACCACGTCAGGAATGTCGACCTCTCACCTGATCAAAATGTCTCTCAGGACTGAGGATGAGCAAAGTAGTGTAGTGAAGGAATAAAAATGATTTGTATTTCAGATCACAAGCTACTATATGCAGGAAAACCCTCAAATCAGTCATGAGTACAGTAACTGCAAGTTAATGCATTGAGTCTGTAAAGTTACAGGGTTCGGGCTAGACAAGCTGTAGCCATATTTCTGTGGAGGCGCTTGATCAGTCTCACGAGGAGACTGGAACATTCTGTTGCACGCACACGTGTTCCTCAAACTCACCTTCAGGCACATTCTACAGTGACTTGCTGTTTCAGATTGTACCTTGAGGAAGTAAGGTATTTTAAACTTTCGGGGAAGTAAGGTATTTCTAGTTCCATTATTAGTTGGCTCCCGAGTTATTAGCTTGGGTAACTACAATAAAGCCCCTCTGCCCCGGATGTCCCATTCTAATCCGCACTAGCATGAACATGTCACGTTACACAGCTAAAGGGACTTTGCAGATGGGACTCGGATGTGGGAAATATACAGGATTTCTCAGATGGGCAAGTCCGGGGGCCTTCAGAATAAAACAGAAGGGAGAATGATGAACTATGAGAACAACTCTACCTGCTTCGTTAGCTTTGAAGCTGGAGGGTTCTAAGTCGAGGAATGTTGGCCACTTTCAACATTTGAAGAAGGAAAAGGTAGCGATTCTTCCCTGGAGCTTCCAGAAGGGAAGCCGTCCTGTTAACTGCTTGATTTTCCTCTTGAGTTCCTTGCTGGGTGCCTGACCTGCAGATCTATGAGACAATAAACTTGTCTTCTGTTAAACCACTAAGTTTATGGTGATTGTTTTAAGAGCAGAAGTCCCTCCCTTGAGCAGTAATAAGATCTGGGGGGTAGAACAGGCAGAGTAAGGCCTGCAGCTTGTCTCACGGGGATATTTTTATCTGTGGGTTACATGAGGGGCCTGCCCCCTCCCCCCTCCCATTTGCCTCTACAGGAAGCCCACCCTATTCTCAAAGGCTCAACATCGTTCTTATTTGAATTATAAGAAAACTTGGGAGACCGATGGTCAAACTTTTTTTTTTCCACTTTTTAAGAACGGGCACTGTTTTTGTCACATAGAGGGAAAGAGCCTAATTTACAAAAAGCCAGATGTTGGAGAACCCTTCCTCGAAGTACTTGTTTGCTGCTCTGTCTGCAGGCACAGAGTGACTTCCCGACACTTCACACAGGGCAAAGCACAACAGTGACTTTTAAAGCTTGTCTCCCAAATTTGTGCTTGAATCCTGCCCAGCTCTGAGATTTATATGCTGTCCTATCTTGTTGCTTCATAAGCAGTACCACGTGGGCCTCCTGGTGGCGCAACGGGTTAAAGCGCAGCACTATTAAGCTGTCTGCAGCCATTGCAGCACAAGTTCGATCCCCGGGCCAGGGAGTGACCCACAGGGCGCAGCAGGCCTCTCCTGCTGCTCCCCTCAGCAGTGGATTTCCGTCAGTCTGCCTGTTCTGCTCCCCACTTTGTCTCTGGTGGGTCCTCTCACCTCTGCACCTCTGGCCTGTACCCCAGCTCTTGTGTACATAAGTAAATAAATGTTTGCGGAAAAAAAGCAGTACCGTGTGCATCCATCCATCTATCCTTCCATCCAAGGGAAGCAACAGCCAGGCGCTCCCTTGGGGAGTGAGCACGTGGGCAGCACCTGCCAGGGACAAGTGCTGGGTGCTGGAGTAACCCAGGCAACAGGTTCTCCAAGTTTGCTACTTAAAGGAGGTTTTGCTGAATCAGACTCTGCTGCTCCTGTCCCTGAGCTGTTGCTCTGCACTGACGGCCCCGGGGACCCCGGCCAGGCTGAGACATCTGAGTGACAGGCAGACACGCGTCCGTCCACGCGGGAAGGGCCAGCGCGGGCACAGGCAACCTTTGTGTTTTCTTTCATTGCTTGCGTTTGTGGTCATGGCTGCAGGGGTGTATTGTTCCTGTTGTCTAACATGTATGATTGTCTCTGGGAATAACGGTGGAGAGACAGCTTCGTTTTCATTCTGGAAAACAAAAGGACTTCGTGAGGATTTTACCCAAGAGAGATGTTAGATCTGTATTTCCGCACTTGTGAATGATGTCCCTTTCAAGGAAAGGCACTTAATTAAAGGCAGGCGAATTTACTGGTGGCTTCAACTCAGCGTTCTGAGACAATGTGTCTAAACTGAGGTGTAGCACTGACTGACATCAGCATTGCCGGGCGTGTTTATGTAAACAGGGTGCGGCTTCCCCGTCCTGGCCCGGCCACTTTCTTGGGATTGGATCTAGAAGTGGTTTCCATCATCTTCACAGCTGGTTACCCCCCAATTTCAGGGTTGCCCCTTTCGGTCTACAGACTGGAGCGTCTTCCAATGTGACAAGGAGGGGTAGACCTCTCCTGCTGAACTCGGACTTCGGCTGCACATGGGAGCTTCCTCATGCCCGTGTGTCTTTTGTCCTAACCTCACGCCCTCGGGCTAGGGGCTGGCGCAGAAAGAGGACGCAGCAGGTGGAGGGAACATTTTATTTCTTTGTACATATTTTGCCTGAACGGGACTGTTCGCCTCCGTCGCCGACCCGTCCCAGGTGCTGCCAGGCTGAGTGAAAGCCCTGGCACACACTGCCCCCTGTACGTGTGGCAGGGCTGGCTGCAGGCCAGGCTGGGCACACGCCGTCCTCACGAGCTGCGAGGCACAAACACTGACTGCACAGGAGACTGCCCCAGGCTTGTGCTGCCCGGCCCCACCCCCGGGAGAAATCAGGATGACAAAATGGACCGCGAGTCTAGTGAGGTCAGTGCCCTTGGGGACTGGGAAAGACTAGAAACAGGCCATGTGGGCGGAGCAAGAGATGGCTTGCGGGGGTCAGGGCGAGATGGCGTGTGGGGGTCAAGGCTCTCCAAGTGGACTCCGGGCCTGGGCCAGCGCCAGCCAGGCCCAGCGGGGCCGCTGGTGGGGGCAGTCCGTGGCACGGCTGTGCCCTTGTGCTTTCACCACTGCGAGACCTGGGTTTGACCACACGTCCCATTCGCAGGCCGCGGGGTCCCATCTCCCCGGAGCTGGCCATCCACGGGCCGGTGCTGAGGCGGGGAGCGAGCTGTCGGGAGTCCTCAGACGCAGCGTGGCCAGGTCCTGGCGGACTCGGCGTTTTCCTGAGAGCTGGGCCAGGCTCCGCTGTCCCGGATGGCAGGAGGCTCTGTGCTGATTCTGCGCCCCAGACAACCTTGGCAGGCCCGGGACAGGCCTGCCCCCTCAGCAGACAGGGAGCTGTGCGAAGGCGGGGCAGGCCCACCCTTCCGGCGGTTTTAAGGACCTCTGGTGGCTTCGCGTCTTGCGTGGCTCTGGGGAGGTGGGGGTCACGAGACTGGGGTGCATGGCAGAGCCCGGAGGGATTTCACCTGGAGACCAGAACGCAACAGGAGAGTCGTCTCAGGCCCAGCCTCCAGCTGCCAGAGGCGAGCGGGAGCGTGTGGCAGGAGCCGGGAGTGCGGCCGGCCGCGCTGTCCAGACCAGCGGACACGCTGGGTCAGGAGGGGCCCCTGGAGCCACCAAGTTAGAGGAGACGCCCCACTGCCTCTGTGGGGAGACTCCTGTGGGGACAGCTCTCGAGCAGCTGCCTCCACCTGCCACTCCCTCCTCGGCGCTGCCCTCTGCAGGCTCCCCAGAGAAGGGCGCACCCCAGGGGGCGGAGAAGACCTCTGTCCCCTCTGCAGGTGCTGAGCGTTTCCCCTCCTGAGGAGAGGGGGGCCGCACCAGCAGGGGCCTCTCCAGGTGAGGGCCGGGCCCCAGGCTCGAGGGGCCAACGAACCACACAGACAGTTAGTGACCAGCCTGGGGTTAGGAGCCGGGCAGGCCCTTTCCGACAGCCTAGTGGGGCAGAGAAGACACTTCCAAACGCAGGGTGGGGCAGGCCGTTACCTTTGACGGGGCAGCAGTAAGGCTTTACAGAGGCATTCTGGTGAGCGCTCTTCTAAAAGGGCTCAGGAAAGAAGGGCCGCCAGAGAGAAACAGAAGGGAAGTAGCAAGGAGGAAGAGGAGACAAGGGCAGGCAGAGCCAGCTCAACGCCCAGCGCCCCCGGCACCCACAGGGGCGCTCCCCGAGGGCGTTCCGCTGCTTGGGGACAAGCTTGACGTCTGAGCCAAAGGTTGAGTTTTGACTTTCAAGCTGCTTTTTGTGCCTCGACTTGGTTTTCTTTTTCCAGCTGCCAGGAAGCGTTTTAAAGTTAAGTGCATGGAGGCAAGCACCCCTCTCCGTTTCAGGATTACGTACTCTAGAACTCTCTTGTTGGGCCCTAAGGCCCAAGAGTGTTCTCAGTGATGTGGCTTAAGGAAAAAGGCACCGCATCAAGGTCTCCACACAGCGTGAAGTCACTCCCTGCTGTGCCTGGTTTTTCTTAAAGTAGAAGGCGGCCCTGGAACGGGGCCAGGCCGAAAGTCAAGGCGGAGCAGACTCCCCGAGGCGCCTGGCCTGGAAAGCCAGCAGAGGGGACGCTCGTTCTCGGGACTCCAGACCTGGCGGGGAGGTGGGGCCCGCAGAGCAAAAGAGGGGGTGTTGTGAGAGGGGCAGGGGTGTGGGGAGGAGCTGGGGGGAGCCAGAGGGGTGCCTGGGAATGGCCCAGGAGGTCAGCACAGCGGGGGGCCTCGCCCGCTGGCCGAGGCTCTGGCGGAGGTGCGGTCCTTACCTCCAGATTACTCCTCGCCTTCTTCAAGACGTCGTGCGTCCTGGTCACTGGAACAAGACACGGGCCCAGAAGAGATTACTGCACGTCTGTCTCACGGCGAGGCCTTCTCGCCTCCACCTGGGGTCACCACTGCCCCCTCGGCCCTCGCGCTCATCCACCTTACTCCTGGCACAGGAGTACGGCCCAGCCTCCGCTCCCCAGGCTTTCCGGTCATGGCTCGTCTGTAGCCCAAGTGGGGACCTAGCACACCCCATTTCCCACCTCCCGACTCGGGGGCACCTACACTGACTGACGATGAACTGTTCCAGGCTGTCCTTCTGCCGGTTGGATGTCTTCAGGCGCTCAGCTGTGCTCTGGAGGAGACTCTCCTGTTTGGAGAGCTTGGCTCTCAGTTCCAGAAGTTCCCGCCGCACAGACTCTCCCTGGGGAAGAGGAACAGCTCTCCGTCACGGTCAGAAGCCCCGATGTGACAGAGCACCGTGCGCTGGGGCTCCATGCTCCGAAGCGGACTCGCTGTCTCCTCAACTGTCTACACTGCGGTCCCTGCGCTGAAGCCCTGACATCCTCCAGCCGCTGAAGGTTTAGGACGAGATCTGGGTGGGGGCACCGAGGACCTGAGGCCCCGGGAGCCCCCAGGGAAGTCAGCAAGGCCTGTACGCCTGTGGCAGAAGGGAAGCTGACTCACGGCCAGGCCTGAAGCCCCGCTGCGGTGGGAGCCCAGCCTCGAGCGGGCCTGGGGGATGTCGCTTGGCAGCGCAGGGAGGCTTGGCGCCTGGGGAGAGGATGCCCGCCTGAGACAGCATGTGATTCTCTCAGCGCTGGTGCCTGCTTGGGCTGAACAAACACCCTCCCTGGGGACTGGCGAGGGAACCCCAGGAGCCAGCAGCGTTAACCTGGAGCTAGGGTGCCTGGGAGGAAACGCTTTCTGAACGTGATGTCCGGTTCCACCGGACAGCCTGAGGCCCGAGGCACCGGGTGGCTGGCTGTCCTGGGCCCGGCCCGAGACGCAGTCTGAACCCCAAGTTGGGATTCCTGGGGTGGCAAAAAGAGGGCCCGTCACTTCGTGTGACATTCTGAGGCTCCACTGCAGCCGGGGAGGGTGGGGCGACACGAACGTGTCCCTGAACGTCACAAGTAGAAGGCACTGGACGCCGCTGGTGTGAGGTTTGTCTCTGCACCCCCAGATCCTTTCTTTGTATTGATGGTTTTACCCCCAGGCCGGCCAGGTAGGAGGGGTGCATCAGGAGCCCCGAGGGAGGGGGGCGCGGGAGGAGCTGCCATCGGGAGCTCCCTCCAGGACACCCTTTGGCCGCTGCCCCAACTCTCTGTGGGCTCCTGCGGGGCAGCTGGGGTCGCGGCCCACCCCGTGTGAGGGCGCTTACCCCTGTGTCCGGCTGTGCGGGCCCGTGGGGGCTGGGCAGCGCCGCCCGCCAGAACATGGAGAGGAGGGCTGCCGACTCCTCCAGCGAGCGCTGCAGGGCGCCGGCGCTGCTGCGAAGCTGCTGGACGCCTGTGCTGCCCGGCACCTGGGGGAGGACGGCGCTGAGCTGCAGGCCCTCGCTGGCCTCCGCTCGAGCTCCTTTCCGTGTCGGTGAGGCGTGGGCGGGGCCTGCGGGGGGCTGCAAAGCCCTTCTCTTGCCTGGGGTCCAGCGTCTCAACTCAGCAGTGACCGCCAGTTGCAGGAATTTGCCTGATGCCAGCCCCCCTGCGGCTGCTCTGCCCCCCAGTCTGAGGTCTCTCATTCTTCACGATTCCCCACCTCCCCGAGTTACACCTCTGCTTCCGCCGGCGGTTGGTCCTCTCCGGCGGGAATGCGCGCCCCAGCAAAGGAGATCGGCCGCCGGGGCACAGCCCCGTCTGCGTCTGCGCCTCACAGCCGAGGGCAGCTGAGCCCGAGCTTCCCATCTTGATGGCTCAGACGCGTCCCCCGTCTAGTGTGGGGCTGCGGGCCAGGCTGTCCCCGCGGCGCTGGCGGCTCAGGCCACACAGAGCCGGTGGCCTGTCATTCCAGGGCAAAGCCAGCTGCCCGGGTCCCACCCCACTCAGTGCCAGCAGGAACGCCCACGCTGCCAGGCGTGTCCCTTCCCACACGTGGCCGGTGGGCACATCTTGCCCGCTAGCCCTCTGACTAAGTGACCATCAGCCCGCAGAGGCCAAGGGCAGCAGCCGCCTGACAATAAGCCAGCAAGAGCGCGCAGCGCCAAGCACGTGGCATCAGACCCGGCACGGTGCTTTGAGGGACAAGGCAGCTGCCTTGGAACAGGAGGGTGTCCAGCGGGAAGGGAGACTGGACGAGAGGCCTGGCCGGGCGTGCCCGAGGGTGGACGCGTGAAAAGGAACAGCAGCAGGAGGCGCACGCTGCAGAGAAGGGAGGGCCGGAAGGGAAGGTGCACCTCCAGCGTGGCAGGTTACCTGTGTGCCCGGCGCCCCCAGGCCCGGCGGGCCGCAGGCCGAGCGCAGGAGCGTCGCCATCTTGGCCGCCAGGCGCGTGCTCTCCCTGATCTGCTGCCGGAGGGCGCTGTAGTCGTCAACGTGGCCGATGACGTGGCGGCCGTGCTTGTGGGCGAAGGAGCCATCGGCCGCCTCGCCCTCCAGCGTGGGAGGATTCCTGGAACCTGGAGAAGCATCCAAACCCAGGCCTGCAAAGTAAGCCGCAGCAGGGCAGGTCACCCCTCGCCGCCCCCGCAGTTCACCGCGGCCCTCGAGGGACAGTGGGGAGAGGCGGGAGGCAGGAGGCCGTCTCAGACGGCCAGGGCGCCTGGTGTCCCGGGAGGCTTTTGTCGTACTCGTGTGATATTTCTTATGTCTTTGACAGGATGTAAGTGGTATCCTGTCGACCAAGGAGACAGTCAAGACAAACATCATTGACAAAAATGTCCAGGCAGAGTCGTTAAGCCTGACACGGTCAGGGAACTTTCCAAAGGCTGGTGCAATGAAGCGCCAGCTGGTTGGCAGGACACCGGGAGGGAGGGGAGGGAGGACAGCGGGGCGAGGCCAGGGCGCGCAGGGGGCCGGTGTTAGCAGCGGGCCCCACAGAGAGCATGGGGTCGCTCCGTGGCCATGTTTACCTTTTGTCCCATTCATGAGGGTGTCTGAGCTGCGAGGAGGGGAAGAAGGGCCGGGGAACACCAGAGCCGGAGAATTCATGCCAACGTCCCGGACAGGCGGGGAAGCACCTGCATCTAGGGAATAAGCACACACCGTTTCAGGACGGGAGCACACGCACGGCCCAGGCCTCGCCCGAGCCCTGGGGGAGCCGCGGTCACCTTTCACGTGACCGCCACGCATACCATGGTCAAAGCAAGAGCAAACAGCCTGGCATGTTGCCACTCCAGAACAAGACCGAAGCGTGTTCTGAGAAGCGGCTTGTGGTCAGAAAATGATGAGGCATATTTTCCCGACCCCAGGTTGACGATCATGGTGCATGTGGCATCTATGTGGTGCCTTATTAAATATAAGTATGCACGGATACATGTAGTCTACGTGTGTGAAATTCTGAGTCATGGAGTGCTGCAGGGTTAGACTCACCGTCCTGGTCGTCGTTCTCATGAGTCAGTGTGGGGAGTAAAATGTAGTGTAAGAAGAGACAGAAGCCGGGGTGGGCTAGACATGGCCTCCTGGAGGCCAGAAGGCACGGGACGAAGCCAGGGAAGACCACGGCCTGACTCGGGGTCGCCTTCTCCTCAGGCCGTGTGTGGCTGAGGAGCAGCAGTGACTGGGTGGGCAGAGGCCTGGCTGGAGTCGCGAGCGGGCAGCGAGAGGGGTGGGCTGGTGCAGGAAGACGTCACCGGACACCACACTGGCCACATGCCCAGCGTGGACGGGCTTCTGTGCGTCAGGCAGAGCAAGAGGCAGCCGCCCACACATGCTGTCATTTACTGGTCACAACGACAGCAACCTTCGGATAACACTGTCATTGTCGGATGCTGAAAATGCAGCAGAACCAGGAAAAAGCATGAACACACCCCGGGAGAAGCAGGCCTGAGAGCGACCTCCACTGGAGGCCTCACAAAGGTGCCGGACACTGAGGGTCCTGAGAGGAAGCGAGTTGAGGACAGCGTGGAGGAGGGCTGGATGGTGAAGCACATGCTGTCGCTAAAGGAGAACAAAGAAGTGGAAGTGGAAATGACCGGGGCGGGTAGACTGGAATGGGGGAAGCAAGCCGGGGGAAGGGAAACTGGGGGGTGATGAGAAAAGGAGTAGGGCTGTGGAAATGTTGGGGGGCAGGCGTGTGAAAGGGAACGCCGGCCACTCAAACGTGGCCACCATCCTGTTCTTCCCAAACCCTGGTTTCCTCTGGAACACCGTGCCCCACAAGTTAGGGACAGAAGCTGGCAAGACCCGGGGCTTAGGAGGAGCAAAGAAAAGTCCTGTTCCCATCCCGCCCCATCTCCTAACCCTGTGAGCCTCAGCACAGCAGTTAATGTCTTAACACCCACGTTTCCTCTGGTAAGTCAGAGACAGGGAAACCTGCCCACCCTTAGATGAAATTGTTTGAAAACAGCAAAGCATTCTATAAATTCAAGGAGCAGGTGTTAAGAGACCCAGCTGTTGGCCGTTAAGCAATTCTTTCATGTCAGACCCCTGTAAGTTACAGCAGACCCCCTGAGCCCTGGTCTCGCCTGCCAGGGGCTCAGGAACCCTCTCAGCCAGGGTGTGAAAAGATTGTGCACAATGAGGTATTGAGAGAGAAAGAGAGAGACAGACCACACTCACATAGCTTTTATTGCTGTATATTGTTACAAGGGTTCTGCTTTACTGCTCGTTACTGTTGCTAACCTCTTCCTGTGCCTAACTTCTGAACACCAAACTTGATCATGGGTGACAAATAATTCTCAAAAAATGAGCCATTCTGGGTCTGGGTAAAAAGTCAGGGAGCCATTGACGGGTCGGGCCCAAGGCCTGTCCAGGGGCCTCCCCAGGCGTGTCCACTGCCAAGGAGAGCATGGCCAGGCACGCGGGGCCACCGGGACGCAGACGCACTGGCCACACCGGTCAAGCTGCGACCATCAGAACACGCCAGGGCGTCCAGCTGGCCAGCGCCCTCTGCCTACATCCGCCTCCCCGCTGGGCCTCGGGCACTGCGCTACGGCTTCCGGGGCCGAGTCTGGTCTGCGACCCGCCGCGGTCGGGTCTGCTGCGGCTCCCGGCCGAGGCGCTTCTGCAGTCGCAGCTGCCGTCTCTCACTGGCCCTCGGTGTCCCGGTCTGCACAGGTGCGATGTGTAGGGAGAAACAGGCTAGCAGGCGTGGGACAGTCAAAAGGCATCGGCAGGGCTTGGAATGTGTCCCCTGGGGTCAGGGGCGGGGCGGTGGGCGGCCACTGAACTGCATTCTCCTTCCAAACACCCGACAGGGGCTACTACGGCACCCGGCACCCTCGTCTTCCAGCCCAGAGGCTAAGCCTGCCACACCTGAGCGGTCGAACAGCTGCCCCAAGGTAAACCACCAGAAGTGTGAACTCAGAACCCGGAGCTGAGCCCCAGGTCCGGGCCCCAGGTCTGGGGGACCCCGACCCTCGGGGCTACGGGGGCGAGGCCGGCCCTTCCGCCAGACCCCAGCGGCGTCCCCGCGGGCTGAGGGCTCCTACTGCTCCTCTCCTTCTTACCTGGGAAGAACGGCTGCTTGTTTGTGGGGTCCCCGGCGGCCGGGAGGCTCTGGCTGAGGGAGGGGGGGCTGAGCCGGGCCTTGGCGACGCCCCCGTCCAGCTGCTGCTCCAGCTGCAGTCGCAGACAGTTGTTCACCTGAACGCTCTGCTCCAGCTGGCCTCTCAGGGCGCGGACCTCTGCCACCAGGTGGCTCAAGTCACTGCTCAAAGGTGCCAGGTGCCAGGCCTCCTGGGCGCAGGCTGCAAGGAGATGGCAGGGCTCAGCGCAGGGGCATGGGCGCGCACACATGGGGAGCAGGGGGTGTTGGGTGGAGGCTTCCTTTGCCTTTCTTGCCCGGGGGGTGAGTCCGTGTTGCCCCCCAGAGTCAAGACTATTCCAAATGATGCCACATCAGGGCCATTCTCGAATATAAAAGGCGAACGTTAGAGACTGCACCTGACTTGTGTCTAGTCGGGTAGTGGCTTTTTTTTTTTTTTAATATTTTCTTTTCTTTCTGCATAGAAGTGCTGAGGTACAGGCCAGAGCTGTGCAGCGGGGAGATAGGAGGGGCCTGCTGCACCCTGTAGGTCACTCCCTGGCCGGGGATCGAACTCAGGCCATCAAGGTGGTGACAGTACTGAGCTTTAACCCCTAGGCCACCAGGGAGGCCTCTTGTGGCCTTTTTCGAAGGACGTCAGGCCGGATCTCGCTCCTGCCACCCCTTCTGTGAGAGCCCCCCTCTTCTCACTGCGAGTGCCAGGCCCGGCTGGGACCGCGGGGGCAGACGGAACTCTGCAGCTTCCAGCCCCCATGAGGCCAGGGCGCACGCCTGGCCCGGACGCCGGGCAGGGCAGTGGGGGCGCCAGGGCACCGACCTTTCTTCTCCTTGGAACTGCCATAGAGCGCCTCGTAGATCTGCAGCTCGGACTGGAGCGACTGGGAGAGCTGCTGCTTCTCCTCGCACTGCTGCTGCACCAGGGCCAGCTTCTGCTGCAGCCTGAGGGGGGGTCGGGGGGGTCAGGGCACGCAGGCGGGGCACCAGGCCACCAGCTCCAGCCGGCCGCCCTCAACCCTTTAGCCCTGGACGCCAACCCCAGAGCGCGGGGGCCGCCACCCCCTGGGCAGACAAGGAGAGAGGCCGGGAGTCGGGGCCTGTCCTGACACAGCTTCCGCTGCTGACCAGAGTCTTCCGCACGGGGCTCTGCCCCCTCAACAGCGGCTGCCTAGGGGGTACCCGAGAGCCCTTCCTTTTGCTCACAGCTACCACTGGCCGGGGAGAGCAGGAGGGAAACTGACGCTTCCAAAACAGGCTGCTGCACCCCAACCTGCGCGCGCCTGCCTCGGCGGGCCTCTCACCTGGAGTCTCTCTCCTGCAGCGACAGTCGCTCCTCCTGGAACCGCAGGATCTCCTGCTGCTTCTCCCGCAGGTCCTCCAGGAGCTGTTGCTGCTCCGCCTTCTGCTGCTTCAGCTCCAGCTCCAGCTCTTGAAGCTGGGCCCGGGAGGACAGCAGGGCCTCCCTCAGGCTGGCGGCTTCCCGGGAGTGCTCTGGAGAGGGACACGGGGGCGCCTGCTGGAGGGGAGCTGAGCCGGGAGGACCCCGCCCTGCGGCCAGAGCTAAGGCGAAGGCCCTGGCCGGTGCACTCGGGCCGGGTGGGTGCTGTCCACGCATCGCCCTGCTTTTAGAGACAGCACTGGCTGCTACAGCTCGCTATCCAAGCGCTCGCCGGCTCTAGGTAAGGCCCACTCTGCAGTTTGAAGGCGTCAGCACCAAGTTCTTGTCTAGAGTTTCCAGAATAAATAATTTTCGTCTTTGGGAGAGTGGGAGGTCTCTCTTCCCTGCACTGTGGCGTCTTTCTTCCTGACTTCTCAGAGACATTAGCAGGGACTCTGCAAACAAGGCCGCGGAGCTGCCCTGGAAGTCACCTGGCCCGAGGCCGGCCCCTGTCTCCTCCCCTGTGAGGGGTCCCATGGCTCTCCCATAGAGGGCAGGGCCGTGTTCCCAGGCCCCCACTGAGGGAGGGCAGAGCTGAGAGCCAGAAGGCAGGTCGGTCAAGGGGAGACACAGGAGGAGGGGACCTGCCTCCTGGATTTGGACTTGCGCCAGGGATCTGAGGGGTCGGAGGAGAGACGTGGGGAGACCGGGAAACCCGGGGAGCGCGAGGCCCGTGGGTGGCTGAACACGGCAGCTGTTCCCTCGCTCTGTACTTTGATTTTGCTCCTTCACCCCAGTTCTCTGGGACCCACTTCAGAACCCCTTCCCGTGGGTCCCCACCAGGAAGTGCCTTGGGCTTGGGGCAAGCTTTCAGCCGGGCCCTTCCCCCGGGGATGGCTGACGGGGCGCTTGGCTCGGAAGGGCCGTCCCTGTCTGAGCCGTCTCCAGTCTGAATCAGACTCCCCGAGCTTCACTCGCGTTGCTCCTTCGTGCACACCCACACGGCCGGACGCCATCCGTGTGCCAGTCTGGGCCGCTGGAGCAGGCCACGCTGCCCTCTGCCTGTGACTCCTCCACCTCGCCCAGCGAGCGCCTTTCTCCCCACTTCCTGCCCTACGGAGACTAGTTCAGAAATGGTTCTTGATGCCTTTTTCCGTTTCCACATTGAGCTCAATCCTTTTGACACTCTCATTTATGGACATTCAGTAAGTGCTAGGAAGCAAAATCGCTCTTCACTGAGGAGTACCCGTCCTACGACTGCGAATGGACGCTAATACTCAGATTAGCTGCAGCCGGCCACAGCGAGGCCACCAACCGGGCTGGGGCTGGAGCCAGGGGAGCTCTGGAGGACATTTGCTGGCACCTCCAGCACAGCGTCCCAAGGGTTCCCGGCCAGCAGGAGCCCTGATGTGTGAGTGCCGGGGTGGGGGTGGGGTGGGGGGGCGGGGGGCACGGGAGACGGGGCTCCGGCCGGCTCATGGAGCCCACAGGGCTGCAGCGCGCGGCGCCACTGGAGAGGGCCGGAGTTCTCGAGTTGTCGTGGCCCGACGGCCGAGCGTGGAGGCAGGCAGGACACATGAGATGTGCGCCTAACTCAGCAGCTGTGGCTGGGTATTTGCAGGTGGTGGGTACAGATCGGGGGCCCCTTGAGCTGTCCAGCCCCGCGGTCAATGGCAGGTGGGTGCAGGCCTGGGAGCCCGAGGGGCCGTGGCTGGGTTCGCAGCGGGGAGCCCCGTGCTGGGCCGGGGCCTCCCACTCCCTCTCTTTGCTCCTCCAATTGGAGATCAGTGTGACGAGGAAGAGGAGGACCCCGTGGTTCGTGGTTCCCGACCACCCACCTCTGGAGAGGTGGCCCAGCTGAGCCTGGAGGCTGCGATTTTCTTCCCTGGGGACTCTGTTCTCGCTGAGGGGCTGGGTGTGGACCCCGGGCCCAGATGCACAGGGGCAGGGCGGGTCCCGTCCCAGACGCACAGCCTGTGGGTCGGCATCTGGGTAGCCGGGGCCTTCCAGCGTCACCGGCCGTGTCTCCCAGAGCTCCTGGCCAAGGCGGCAGATACTCGGGGCCGCCGGCCTTGCCTGAAGCCTGCTGGGCTGAGGCTGGTCCCTGCGCCCCCTCGAGGGGTGTGCGAAGGCTCGTCACGGGCAGGGCTGCCGTGCTCAAGAGGCCCTTTGCCCTGCATGTCTGTGCTGTGGCAGGACAACGGGGTGGGAAGGCTGGCACCCTGTGGCAGAGGCCCGGGTTGAGAGTGGAGAAAGGTGTCCTGGGAAAGGCCTGGGTGGTGGGTGCTGGAGCCTGACTCCCGCAGTGCCCGCCCTCAGGGCATGGCACAGCTGTGTCAGGATGGCCTAATCCGCAGGGAGCTCTGCCTCAGGGAAAGCGACTCTGAATCAGATACAGTCAGGAAGTGGGGGGCTGGTACTGCCCCCAGCCCTCCTGCGTGGTTTGTACGGAGAAAGTCGAGGACGTTCTTCTTAAGGTTACTCCTTCCAAAGCTCCCCAAGTATGAGCCAAAGTTGTGCTGCCCCAGGTCTCCATGCCGTCCAGGCCCCCCAACACCCCCCCCGCACCCCCCCGCCGCCCAGGCCCCGCACCTCCGGTTCGAGCCACGGAGCTGAGTCTGCGCTCCAGCTGCTCCCGCAGGCGGTCATTGATGCAGGTGGACTCCTCCAGCCGCTGGCGCAGATCCCGGATCTCGCTGAGCTGCTCCTCCAGCAGGTCGGCCCCTGCAGCCAGCCGGCAGGATGGGGAGGGGAGAGGTGGGGGCCTGGCCACGGGGGGCAGGGCCTGCCAGCACCTGCAAAGGTGCCTTCTAGGTGCCACTTAGTGCCGGGAAAAGCCCCTCCGCCAAGCCCCTCCTCCTGGTGACTGGGCCTTCCTCCCACCTGCGAAGGGCGAGCCTGGGAGAGCACCCCGACACTGGGTGCCCCTCCAGTCGCTGCTGGAACCGCCAGGGTCTCGGCCCAAGGTGGGCTAGCTGGGGGGAGCAGCAAGGGACGGGAGTGGACACAGGCTTGGGCTAGGACATCTTGTAAAAACTACAAGTGCCTTGCCTACATGCACCCAGGATTCACCTATGTGGCTGCCCCCACCCTGGGGCTGTGCCACTTGGACCTGTGCCACTGGGGGAGTTGGAATTGGGTTTTGTACACAGAAGAGGTGTATGTGTGTGTGTGTATGTGTGTGTGTGTGAGATCACTTGTGGTGGACTTTCTGGAAGGTCTAAGCTGGGCTGTGGGAGTCAGGATGCAGGAGAAAGGACATGCGTGTGGGGGCACAGAGGGGTCCCCATCCCCTGCAGAGCCAAGGCCCAAGCGGAGGAGGAGGAGGAGGAGGACTAGGCACTGATGGCTCCTTTCACTTAACCCCACGCTGGGACTTGGGGGCTAAAGGGAAAGGCCTGCGAGGCGGAAAGGGGGAGGCCCCCCGAGGCCCACCAGGCCGCCGCACCTGTGGGCCTGGAGCTCAGCCGGCACACGGAGGAGCCTGAGGACCGGTCTCCGGACCTGCCCCCTCTCTGCGGCCTCATCACGTCCCACTGGCCGCCGCTGCGCAGGAACCCCGGCTCCAGGACCCTGCCCAGTTCTGTGGCGCCCCCGGGAGGGCGGGGCGGGGCGGGGTTGAGGTAGTGGGGAGAGCTGGCTTCTCCCTGGTGACCCAGCAGTGCAGCTGAGGAAGCGGGGTGGACAGAGCTGACACCTGCGAGGAAGGAAAGGTGGGCAAAAACAGGGGTGTCAGCGTGGAGGGTGACTACAGCTCAGAACAGACTCCGAGGGGCCCTGGGGACGGCAGCAATGGCCGGGGGATGAGGCCCAGCAGCTACTGCCGTAACTTTCACCCCCATGCCGCTGGCGTGAGACAAGAGGCAGAGGGTGGCCGAACCAACCCAAGTCCCACTCCTGGCTCCTCCGATGAATCCTTCTCTGCTACCCTCACGGTGGACCCCTGCAGGTTCCCCAGGTGGGGCACTCCCAAAGCCAGGGTCGGGCTGTTCACACTCAGGAGCCTTCCCTGAGCTTCTCCCCAAAGCCAACCCGCCGGTTTCCCTTGGGGTGACCAGAGACAGAAAAGGACAGAGACTGCGTCCAGCTTGGCACAGCATCCCCGTTCCTCCAGGCTGTGGGCGCTTTGCTGAGGGGGTCTGGGCCCAGCCCTCTGGCTCAGGAACTGCAGGAAGGGCCCCTTGTGCCTGGGGAACGTGGGAGCGCCCTTCCTGGCGTGTTTCGTGGGGCCTACGGAGTCTCCGCTTCCTTCCAGCCCCATCGTCTCTGCGTCTGGGTGAGGGGAAGCCCTGTTTGGGGGAGAGGGTGCGCATGGACATGGGGTTTGTGGCCACCCAGGCCGGTGGGTTGGCTCATTCTGTCCATTCCCACAGACGAAAGGTAATTGTGGTGCCTCTGGCAGATCTTCAGGCCTTTACTGCCGAGCCGGGACAGGCCGGCTTCTCTGCATCTGCCTGCTGTGCCTCGCCCGGCCTCCTGCCCCCGGCCCGTGGGCTCCAGCTCAGGTGTCCAGTTACAGGGGCGTGCTGGGCCGCAGGTGCCAGCCCAGAGACTGTGGCGGAGGGTGTGGAAGCCTTCCTTGGACCATCATAGCTGGGGAGACCCACATTCAAAAGCCTGCTCTCTCCTGGGATCACCCTCTCGGGGAGTGGATGGACGGGTACCTCCACCCGAGCACACGGGACTCTGGTGGCTTCTCCAACCGCCTAGCTCCTCTGGGGGCTTGATGGCAATGGACCTTGCTAATTTTCATCTCCTATTGTAGCTGGTTTCCAAGGCAATTCTATCGCCAAGGACAATGTAAAAAAGACCTAACATTCCCAGGCCCCCCCCCCCAGGGATTTTGCCTTCACCAGGGTGGGGTACAGCTTGGGCCCTGGGTGTTTTGAAGTCAGCTTGGGTGATTTGAGTAGGCAGCCACTGTGAGAAGCTCGGTCGCACGTCTCCCCTTTCCCGACGTGCCAGATGCTGGCTATTCATTCACACCGTGAGAAGTTAAAGAGGGACAGGAGAGATGCACGCCTCTAGCTTTTAGTAAAGACCCTAAAATCTGGCAAAGAGTCCCTCAAGTCTGCTTCAGCGGCGAGTGCCAAGGGGCACTCAGCGGCTGTGGGCAGCTTCACTTCAGCCCTGGGGCTTCCAAGCGATGAGTGACAGGGACGTGTTTTCACTGCTGCCACCTCCCCGACACGCAGGAGTGTCCGACGGACTCCTGTGCCCAGAGCGCTCCCCACCGTCCACTGGGGGCTTGACGCTAAGCATCACGGGCCATGGGGGACCACGGTCCTTAGGAGGAGTGAGCTTCTGGAGGAAAAGGGAAGGTTTCTCACCAAGGCTGGGGCCTCCCCAGCGCCCGTCAGAGTCTCAGGGCAAAGATGCACCCAGTTCCACCACATCCGCAGAAGCTTTCTCATGCACAACACTCACCTTCCTCTCTCCCCTTCGACACAGACAACGCAACAAAGACAGGACAGGAAGAGGTGGCAAGGCAAAGCGAGGGGCGAGGGGCACTTGGGCAATGCAGGCACCGGACAGTCATTAGCCATGGATCGTTCATCCAGAGCTGCTCAAGCAAGGTCAAGGTCAGAGACGTTGGCACCTCCCACTGGTCTCCAAGGAGAGAAAAGGCATGGCACGAGACTGAGTTCAGCTCCTTGACCCAGACGGATGGTGCCAGCCCCGCTCCAGGTAGACAGGTGTGATGGAACGTGAGCTGACCTCGGACGCCCTGGACTCGGGCCCTGTCTCCTGCCGACTGGCTGGGCGCCTTGGCAAGCCACTGCTCCCCTGAGCCGCGGTCCCTGCCTCTACCTGTCTTGCAGGGCCACGGGGCCAGGCGCCCGCCAGCAGGCGGGCTTCACTGCGCCCCGTGTAAGCTGGCAGCGGAAGGCGGCCTCTTAGTCTCCCCTGTGCACACAGAGGAAGATGGACGGGCTCTCCAAAGATGGTTTTAAATTAGTTGGTTCTAGAAACCAGCAATGTGGAGGCTGAGTAGATCCTGTCTTTTTGCAGGGTTGACAAAAGAAAAAAGCTGGCCCCAGGGACGCTGGAGACCTGGGGACCTTCTCCTCAACCTCCGGGTCACCACAGCCACTCTGCAGGTGGCGGATGTGGCTGCAGGTCCTTTCAAGCCGCGTTTGAGCTCTCAGGGAAAATTCCTCACGTGCTGCTTTTCTTTTCCCAGCTCTAGGTGACCACAGACATAAAAATCTGTAAGAGGAGGCATCCGGCTCCTACTATTCCCGACCCACCTCCGAGCGGCAGTGCACGGTTTGTGGGTTCTCAGATTCCCGGGGGTCAGATCAGTGCTCTGGAGTCGGGGGGGGGGGTCCCCAGCCGACGTCACAGTCCGTCTTCCGGCCCCAGCTGCCCACAAGGCAGCGGCTGTCACAGCAACAAGCAAAGGGCTGTCACCCCTTTCTGAGCCCCCAGCACCACCCTCTGTCCCCGAAGCCCTCAGGACTGCAAGTTGACTAAACACTCCCAGCAGGAGGCTGTGACGGGCATGGGGAGCCTGCGGAAGGCGGCCCTGTCTTGGCCACGCAGGAGGCTGCTCCTGCCGCACCGCAGGGCTGGGGGGCACCTCGTGCGGGCAGCGGGACAGCGGGACGGCGCCAGGTCTCGGGCCTCGTGAACGGACACACCTGTTAGCGGACGAGACAGACACGCAGAAAGCAGCCAGCCCGAGTCAGACACAGCCAGCAGGCCGCCCCCAGGGCCACCGGTGCGTCTGGAGGCGCCGCGAAGCCAAAGCCATGCAGGCGCAGGCCGCTGAGGCACACAGCGCTGCTCACTTTCTCCCAGCTGCTTCTGCAGCAGCTGCAGCTCCTGCTGGGCCGCGGCCAGGGAGACCGCAGGGGTCTCACAGCAGCCCAGGAAGGGCAGGCCGGCGGCCGGGCTGAAGGGCGGGAAACGGGGCGGCGCTGGGGGCAGTGGAGCCTGAGGGAGGCTGGCCAGCCTGGGTGTGGAGGGGAGACGGAGGCCTAGAGACAGTCAGGAAAGAGGAGACACGCATTAGAAGGGAGGGCAGGAAGAGGCAGAGGTGAAACCCCTGCGCTGGCGGCGCCTGGGGTGCCCGAGCTGGCCAGTGGCGCCACCGCCGGGGCTGGCCGGGCTGAGCCCTGCTCCTGGGGGTGACCTGCACAGTCCCTGGGAGAGGCAAGGGGGCCTGGCGAGACTCGCCACAGCACGGCCTCTCTCCGCGGGGCGGGCAGGCCAGGGGGCTGCGCCCAAGGCTCCCGGCCCCTGGGGCTGTCTCCGGCATGCCCAGCACTGCCTCTGTGATGAGACCACCTACTCCTGGAATCCTCTGGGGAAAGCGTCAGCGCCTGTCTTGACAGGGCAGAGGCGGCCAAGGTCTTTGGGGAAATCTGCTTTAATCACGTGTGCACTCAAGGCTCATGGGACAAAGGAGAAGCCAGTCAGCGTGTTCATTCCCCAGAGGAAACCCCAGGCCTCACCAGTGGTCCAGGCGCAAGGGTTAGAGACCCGCGCGGCAGGTCCTTCAGGCCCTACTGGGGCGCAGGGCCTGGGGACGAGCATTTGAAGACCAGTCGCTGTGTGCGTGACACACCCACGTACAGACAGGCTTCTGGGGAGCCCACAGGGGTCTGTCCTCTCCCTCAGGAACCGCCAGCAGGCAGGTAGCCCCTGGCCAGGCAGGGCAAGACTGACCCATGGAATGTCACCCCAGAAGGTCATGGCTGCCCAACCACTTCCTCGCCCGGGAAACTCACTCGGTCGGCGGCAGAGTGGCACTGCGAGACGCAGACGTTGCCAGGGGCCCCATCCAGACCTCCCAGACTTCCAGGCTTTTGCCCTCTCTCCGTGACACCCCGAAGCATTTACGCAGATGCCCATGGAGCTGGGTGAGCAGCCCCGTGATTTCTTGTCCACTCTGGCCCAGAAACTGAGTCCAGCCCCAGGAGGTGTGGGGACACTTCCTTAAAACTTGGGGCGACTTCTCAGAAGGGACAGTGGCAGCAGAAGGGAAGCGCCGGCCTTGCCAGAAGACAAGGCGCGGGCGCCGGAGCTTGGGAGGTGCTCCTCGAGGGAAGCCGCCCGCCGGCAAGCACCCCGAGTCCCCGGAGCGGCCTGCAGCCTCCTGGCTGGTCCCAGGACGGGCACCATGGATGCAGCAGGGGCTGCACCTGTCAGGATGCGGGGGGTGGCCTGGTCGGGGAGGTCCTGCCCGCAGAGACTGGGCACCCTCAGCGTGCCGTGCCCTGACCCTGAGAGGCTCACGTGCTGGTAGAAAGGGAAGAAGGGTGGGGTGGAGCTCGTGGGTTTCCTTGCGCTCCCTGGCCTGTAATCCTAAGAGATTCCTCTTTGCTGCCTGGGTGAAATGAAAGAAAGATGAAAACACTGTGCTTAAAAGCGACGCGCCCGAGGCAGGGCAAACCTGGTAGGCAGACCCAGTCTGTGCGGGCCACCCCTTTCTCGAGAGCTCCCCGCAGAGGCACGCAGGCACAGCTACGGTTCAAGATGGCTCTCGGCTTGGTCTAGGACCGGCTGCGCGAGACTTTGGCAGTGGGGACAGGCGGGGAGAGCAGCTGGAGCCGCCCTGGCTGTGGCCTACCTGGATGGGCCCGGCTGGCCTCCCGGGGGGGGCTCGGGGGGGCTGGCAGGCTGGTGGGGTTGCTGCGGGGCTCCGCCTTAACCCCCTGAGAGGCACCGGTGGCTGCTGGTTTAGGAGACAGCGCAGCAGCGTGACTCGAGTGCTGGAGGGAATCTACAAAACCCACGAACGAAAGAAAACGTTGGGTGCTCTACAGGAAGTGGGGTCCCGCCCTGGAGCCAAGCAGGGCAGCGACCAGGGCAGAACTCTGCTTCCAGGGCGAGCCCCGGCCCAGCCCTGGGAGCTGCCCTAGGCTCTGAGGCCACCGCAGCGGGGCCAGCAGGCTCGGGCCGTCGGCCACGAGCCACACCAGGCAGGACAGGCCGCCTCAGTGGACACCCGGCTCCCCAGGGACCCGCCAGAAAGCAGCTAGCAAGAGCGCTGCGGAGGTGGAGGTCCCTACGACTCAGGCCGGCCACGGGGCAGCGGAGGGAAGGCGCCGCCTCCCCTCCGTGGGGCCCCTCCGTGGCTCACCGCCGGCCTCACCGCGGGCAGTGGCGGCCGGGGTGGCAGGCCACGCGGGCCCCCTGCAGCCAGGGGCTGCACTGGCCCGACCCGAGGGAACTGGGCTTGGCGCGAAGGCTCCCAGGACTCTGTGCGGCCTGACGCACACCGAGGCAGAGCCGCAGGCCTAGTTATGGGGGGCACTCAGCCTCGATAAAGCGCTCTGGCTCAGAGAGCGGGGTTACCTGAGCCCCCGGGCGAGGCTTCCTGCTCCTCGTAGTGCGTGCGCTCGCTGGCCACCTCCATGTCGGAGGAGGCTTCCAGCTCGTCGGACAGGAAGGAGGAGCTGCTCGGGGAGCGGGGGCAGTCGGACGGGGCCTGGCTGCCGGAGGGGCTGAGGGAGCGGGCGTCCAGCTTGGCCTGCAGCACCTCGATCACCTTCTCCTTCTCCTGCAGCTCCCTGCTGAGCCTGGGACGGGGAGGACATGGAGCAGGCAGGTCACTGGGCAGCCGGACCGGCCAAGCCATTAAGTCAAGGGTGGGGGGGCTTCTGCAGAGTACAGGTGCCCCATCGCTGCTGGGGTGGACACTCGGTGGGGCACAGAGAGGGCGCTCCAGGGCTGCCCGGCGGCGTGGCCACACGCACTGAGGGCGCGGGCACTCGCTGGGCCTCAGGCTCGCTGCCTAAAGCTTGCCCCCAGCACAGCTGCACTCGGGGGCTCTTGGCCTGGCTTCACCAAGACAAGCCCAGACGCCAGAGGGAAGCCCCGAGGGCGGCACAGCATCCAGGCTACACCTTCAGAGCAGTGACGCCTCTGGCGACGGGGTCTAGCCGAGCCTGTGCCCAGGCGGGTTCGGATGAGCGCAAGGACATGCCGGCCCTCCCCACCGGTGCTGGAGAAGCACCGCAGGCCCGACACACACAGGACGCAGAGCGACCCCGCTAGCGGCTTCTCTGGGGCCCCCAGCCCGCAGCTCACTGTGCATGGTCAGGAGCCGTGGGGCCCGGAGCTTTCCCAGGGCCCCCTAATATGTCTCGTTTCCCCCAAGGCAGTGGGTGACTATTAAACCAGCTGCCAACTCCCCTCAGGCTAAGTCACTTGGCAGAAAGCACAGCCTGTCTTACACACTCAGGACAGCAGCGCCCTGGGCGTGCCGAGGGCCCTGGAACTAGCTCAGCGCTAGTCAGATGACTGGGGGCTAACCCTGGAGAAAGGAACCCCACAGGACCAGAGCAAAGGAGAGTAAAGCTTTGAGTGAGGGCACAGTGAGCGTCCCCCGCTCCGCTCCACCTGTCTCCACCCGTGACGCTGCTGCTCCCGTCCCTTGGGCCTTTCCCCTGGCTCCTCGGCCGGATTCTGGTTTGCGTTACCTGAGGGCCAGCGGTTCGAGTCCAGCTTGATCTTTTTCACTTTTATGATCCTCTGCAAACACATTCAGAGAGAAACCGTAAGAGATTTAGCAGGGTCCACGCCACACGTTACCGACGCGGGGTCCGTTACCCGACAACAGAGGACCCCGGCAGGACACGCGGGAGCACCCCCCCGGGGCTCAGGCTGTGTGCACAGGGGCCACCTGGAGGCTTCCTGAGCTCCAGACAGACCTTCCCCTACGGGGAGGATGGACGTCGCCATCCGACTCCCTCTGCCCCATCAGTTAGGGATGTTTAGAAGGTGCTTGCCCAGCCTCCCTCTGGAATATTCGCGCCTCCAGGCCCGCAAAGACGGGTTTCCAGGCATGTGGCCTGCGTCCCGCCATAGCTGTCTGGGCGACCTGCTCCTGCTTCTGCAAACAGGCCTGTCACCCTCCGCTCAGGACACGGGCGGCTGGCCCCGCGGACCTGCCGTACGCCCCCGGTCTCGCAGGAGAGTCTAAGCAGAGGGCTCCCATGATTACCACATTCCTGACCCTGGTGTTACGACATCCCAGAGGGTACGGCGCTCCACACGCCGTGTGAAGCACATTCTAGAAGGCACTGCGCGGTCACGGAGGCTGCGCCAGGACGAGGCACCAGCCCTGAGCATGGCAGCGCCCAGGCTGGTCTCGCGCTCTGGCTTCAGGGCTCTTGGCGCTGTCCGGAGCCTTCCTGTGCCACCCCTCACCCAGTGCCAGAGGACACAGCAGCCTCCTCCCCCAGGCATCACGCCCCGGGCTTGGCAGTGTCTACAGTGTCGGGGCGTTGTCTCTGGGCTGTGTTCTGATTCTCTGCTGGTCCCCAGAGACCAGGTGGATGCAGGACTCTGGGATCCCCCCCACCCCCAAGGAGCGTTGGCTCAGAGGGCCCCGCCCCAGCCCACTTACTGGTGCTGAGCTTGCAGGCCAGCCTCTCTGTCAGCTGCGCCCCCTGGGCGAGCTGCTCGCGGAAGCTCTGCCCCAGGTAGTAGTCGATGTCGTTGCTTCTCAGGAGATCCTCAAAAGACTTTACTGTGTCCTTTGCATGCTGGGTGAGGAGATAGCAGATACCTCTCCCCTCTCGTATTTTCTGGCGCAGGTAGGATAGTTCTCGGGCCTGATCCTGAATTAGGGAATCGTATTTCCTAACGCAGGAAAGGGGCCAGGAGGGAGGGCAGGGTGAGTGAGGAGTTAACGGTGGCTTCAGGAGACATTTCTATGAGAACACCTCCAGGGGGCCCTCCAGCCCCCAGCTGAGCGTCCCCCTCCCCTCGAAGAGATATTTAAGCGTAAATTCTGCTCAGAGAAACTACTGTGTCAGACTGTGGTGGGCCTCTGCGCTACTCACAGGCCCAAGAGGGCACCTGAGCTCCCTGGGGCGCTGACAGGCTGGGTTGCACAGCCTCTCGGCACCAGCAGAGTGTGGGCTCCGAGGCATGCCACGGGCACCACAAATAAACTGAGTAGAGCCGCTGAACCCTGGTGCCAATCTTAAATCAGGACCGGCCCTCTCGTGCCTTCTAGCTCAAAGACCATGAGCCTGATGATGGCAAACTGGGTCTGTGAAGACGGTCAAAGGGACAAGGCCCTGCCGCTCTCAGCAGGAAGGGGAGGCTATTCTCCACCCCCTTAAATCTGCAAGGGCCCTGTGCCCTTTGATTAGTATCACCGAGTGGCCACCACCCATGGAGGCCCCGGGACACAAGGAGCCAACAGAGGAAGAGGAGGCTGCAACACAGTGCCAGCCTGAATACAGCAGGCGTCCGGCCAGGTGGACCCTGTGGGTGACCGCTCCCGGCTCCTACAGGCAACAGCCTTGCTGCGAGAGCCACCCAGCTGAGCCCAGTCAGCCCACCAGAAGTATCGTCTGAGGCCGTGAAGGCTTGAGGTGGTTGGCTGCTCGGCACAGATACGGGGCCGTGCAAGCAGGGCGTCTACCCAGCGTCTTTCAGCACGAAGCAGCCACTCAAACCCCAATCACTGCAAACGGGCCTGAGGGCTTGTATGTCAGGCCCCATGATAGCACTCGAGTGAACGCATTTAACTCTAATCACCACCCTTTACCAGAGTCTCTCAGCCTCGCTTCACAGGCCGAGGAACGGGCTCAGAAAAGCGAGGCAGGCTACAAGCGAGCCCCTGCCAGCGCTGGGCTGGCTCCAGTCTGAGTAGGCCGTGTGCCGTCACTGTGTGTTCCCAAGGGGAGGCCCGAGACGCCTAGTGTGTCCCCTGGGGCCTGCCGGCCTTTCCTCAGACCTGCCCTCTGACGGGGGGCCGGGTCCCCTCCCGTCTGCCCCATCCGCACCCACTCGGGCTCCCGCCCCACCCTTACCCAGGCCAGGAGGCGGATCTCAGCTCCTCTGCCAGCTTCCCCTCCAGCCCAGTTTTCGGGAGCTGGGCCTCCAGCTGGGACACTCTCTGGACCAGACTGTCCAGATCCTTTTTAGCCTGCAGCCCCGGAGGGTAGAAAGCCCCCGTGCCGTCGGACAGCCACCCTTCATCCTCGTCAGTGATGCTGTGGGGCGAAGATCCCTCGAGGGGGCCAACAGCCTTCAGCTTTCGGGGTCTCTCCAGGCTAGAGGAGTAATCGCTCGTAACGGACAGGGAGCGGACCCGACTCTTGAGGTTCTGGATGAGCTTGTTGGCGTTCTGCAGCTGGGTCTTCAGCTCTCTGATGTTCTTGTGTAGGACAGAGACGTCTTCTGACTTCCCACGTGCCTGGAACTCGTCCTGCTTCCCCAGCCGGCTCTCCAGGGACGTCCTCCCAGGGGGGCTGGCCAGGGCGGTGGCTGAGCGCCCCTGCGGAGAGCACAGCCCATCCATCAGGAAGGAGTCCCCAAGGCTGTCGTGTTCCTCGCACTCTGAAAAAGAGCACCAGACATGGTCCTGAGCAAGGGCGCGGCAGCCCTGCACGGGCGGCGGGCCGGGCCCGGGGACGCAGAATCGGAGAAGCGGGGCGCTGCTCAGTCGGCGCTGGGGTGGCCTCTGCTGCAGTCGCTGCTCTCGCGCCTGCACCTCAGCCATGGGAACTTCTATTTTGCTGTTTTTCTCTTTCCCATTTCAATTCGATCACTGTCCCGCCAGTCCTAGCCCTTCCATAATGGGGAAAACTGCTTCCACTGTACGGCTTGCATAATCTCGGCAGCTCATCGGGTCTCTTTATTCATTAGTAGCATGGGCATTTTTTCCCTGTACAATAATGATAACTATTATCGTTATCACTATTGTATAATTCTGTATAATAGTAATTAATTGGAGAGCCAATTAATTAATCAGATATAATTCTGTATAATAATAATTAACTGGCGATTCTTAAAAACGAATCGCTGTTGGGAAATTCATTGCAGAGACTCAGCTCACACAGCCTCCTTTCGGGTGAGAGCTGTCCTGCGGACACCCTGCCCCTCATTACTCCTGGGTCCTCTCCAACCTACAGCAGCTGCCCGCCCCTCCTCGCTCATCGGCCGCGGGCGGGGATGTGGGCCGCCCGCTGGGAGCCGGCTCCGGGAGGCAAGGTGAGCCCCGTGCCCAAGCTCTCACCGGGGCTGGTGGTCTCCTCCCGCTCAGCCTCGTTCTCGCTGCGGCCGCAGGTCTCGTAGCCCAGGTCCTGGAGGTCTACCTGGACCTGCTTGCTGTCTTGCTTCACCAAGGATTCGCCTGCTGGAAGAGACAGACGCTGCAGAAGAGCTGAGCTTCCCACACATGCCCTGGGCCTCGACAGCCCCCAGCAGCAGGGGTCAGGACTGGCCTCAGGTCCTTCTCCACAGGATGTGCTGGCCTTCGCCAGCTCCTGCTGCAGAGAAACTGAGCTCAGATGCACCAGGCTCCTCAGGTTAGGCATTGCATATTATCATCTGGTGAAGCCAAATGAAGCCATGTTTGAATGGAACCCAAATAATTTGGACTCCCGAGGCCTGTAGATCGACACTGTCCAGTAAGGTAGCTACTAGCCAGATGCGGCTATTTTATGTAAAATTAACTAAAATTTAAGAGAACTTTAAATTCCCAAGTTGAACTAAACTTCACGCGCCCCACAATCACATGTGATGGTGACATAGAACACCCTCATCTCTGCAGGAAATTCTGTCAGACCAACAATGAAGATGCCTCTTGCAAGGATCTGATGTAGGACGAAGAAGAGGCAGAGCGTTGAGCGATACCAGAAACCAGCGCACCCATGTCGCGTTTCCTGCCTCTACTCTCGCTGCGCTAGCACTTTATACCTTCATTCCTCTCTGCTGTCTGCAGCCCGAAGGTGGATGTGGCCCTCACTGCTGCAGGACTAGGTCGGGACTAAGCCTGCTTTCTTGCTGGGCCAGGTGTGCAAGGCATGTGGCCTCCCAGAGCCGACGACGCGGGGCTGGGTGCGACTTACTCAGCATGGCCCTGTATTTCTCCAGCTGGTTCGCCTGGGCAAAGACAGTGGCTTCTGATATCAGCAGCTTCTCCTGGAGATCCTGGTAGCGCTGTCTGCACTGTGCCAGCTGGGACCGCAGGTGCTTGGTGGACCCCGGGAGGCCACATTCGGACGGAGGCCCAGGGGCACGGTCCTGGGACCGGCGATCCAGCTGTGGAAAGAGCCAGCCCGGGGGCAGGGCAGCCAAGGTCACGTGTCTTGAAGTGATGGCCAAATCCCTGCCCCCTCCCGGCCCATCACAGCACCCCTCTGCCACATGGCAGTTCCTGGCAGTCCAGACAGTTCCTGCTGCCCGGGGCTCGTGATTAATGCAGCCCTGAGTCCAGAATGGCAGCACCTCTCAAGCGGCAGAGGGGCTCGGGGAGGTTTGTCCTGAGAAGGTGGAAGGCCATCCTCGTGGCCCTGCACCTGCCTCCGTGGGCCCACAGGGCTCTCTGCACTGCCCATTCCCTAAGAGGTTGCTGACACCCCACTGAGGCCCAGCAAGAGACCCTGGGAGGAGCGGTGACGAAAACGGAGTGCTATGCGGGGCATCTCATCAACACCGCCTGTCTGGGCCCCTGAAAGCCCAGGGCTCCTGGCACTGCATCGGTGAAACCATCCGCTTTTGTGCCACCCTCTCCCCACCCAATATGGAGCCCCTACAGGGCAGAGACCGGCTCTCCCGGTCTGGTGTGCCATCTGGAAAACTAAGCACTCGAGAAAGATTCACGGAAGATGAATCACTCAAGAGCTGTCAGGAGAGGATGCAGCCAGAGCACCGCCCGCCTCCCGGGCAGGAGAGTGTCCCCGCTGCCTGGGGCGCCATGACCCCGGCAGAACCGGCTTCACCTGCTCCCACACTTACTTGGCCTGGATGCTGGGCGCCCACTGGGAGGGCCGCCCCGAGAGCCAGGCTGCGGGGTCTGCGGCAGGGTCTTGCAGCCACAGCCTTCTCCTCTGGGTGCTGCTGCCTCCCCGCGGAGTCAGCCGGCTCCGTGCTCGTCCCACCGAGCCCCGGGGCCCGGGGCGCCAGGAGTTCCGGTGCCAGCTTGCTCTTGCTCTCCCTGCTGCTCAGCACCAGCTGTTCTTTGAGGAGGCTGATGATGTTGTGGGCATTTTTCAGTTTTCTCTGGAGCTTCCTGCACTCAGCCTGAAGGCAGCTCTCGCTCGGATCCCCCTTGGCTCCCATGGTCTCTGCCATCACCTCGCCCTTCTCCTTGTCTTCCTCCATCTCCCATCCGTCAGACATTGCTTCTCCCATCTGCTCTTTCAGCTCTGCATTCTCCAGGCACAGGCTCAGCATGGTGTTCCTGCAGGAGATGCGGTCGGGTCCACGCTCGGTCCCTGCCACCCACATCTCAACCCACCAGACTCAGAGACACCCCCGAGAACGAGATGACCTTGCAGACCTACAGCAACACTCCCTGTCATCTCAGATGAGAAAACCAGGACTCAGAGAGGGGCAGAGACTTGCCTGTGCTCCCATGGCTGCTCAGGGCAGCGCCACAGCTGAGACCTTGGACTCAGACATCTGGCCCACCTGGACCCTGGCCACCTGGCGCCAACCTGTACCCAGCCCACCTGCACCAGGCCACCTGCACCAGGCCACTGCCCTACCTGGATCCCGGCCACCTGGCCCACCTGCACCAGGCCACCGGCCTACCTGCACTCCAGCCATGCAGCCCACCTGCACCCCGGCCACCCAGTCCCACGCTCTAATGTTCAGTGGCTTCTGTAATAAATAAACAAGGGCACCTGCACTGTTAAGAAGGAAGAAGAAAGACCTTGCCTGGGACAAGTTTATTATTACGGTTTCTACAATTCTCTTATTTGCAACCAGCCACTTTTTAACCCCTAGATGAGAAATGGGAGCCTATGAACACATCAGAATAGAAGACTCTAATCAGAACCACAATCCAAGGCGCTCAGGTAGCTGTCTGCTTTCATCCGCTCTTGTGACGGGAGGCCACCTTCAGACCTGGCCCCCACCCTCTCCCCTACAGCACCTGCTGCACAAAACACTCACACTTTGGTGAAAAAATGGGCCGAACAACTCACTTCTGGATTGCAGACCACCTTCCCTGTCATCAAGCCCTCTCCTAGCAACCAGGTGGCTTTTTCCCTCCTGGAGCTTCCTTTGATGTAACAGAAGGATCACAGCCCCTGTCGGGTACTGGGTTGCAAATGAAATGACACCGGCAGGGTGGCTCAGGGTCGCCACCAGCAGAGAGGCCATTTTATGCGCTGCGCTAGCTGCTTCCCCGGCGAGCAACACCAGAACCTGCGAGGGGCTCGTGGGAAACCGTACAGCTAAGGCCGAGGCGGAACCCGTCAGTTCCACGGGTGAGTCTTGAGCACTGTGAGGAGCTGGAGACACGGGGAACCAGGAATTCACCTGCAGGGGGCACTGGTGGGGGCCGTGGGGGGAGCAGCCATTGACCTTGGCCTGGATTGGTTTTCTCAGAATCCTGAGGTCTCAGAGTCAAGAGTAAAGTCCCTCTTTATGGGAATCAGGGAAGAAAGTGCTTCCGGATGTGGAAACCCTGCGCGGGGCAGTTCCTTGATGGACCAAAAGGGGCAGGAATTTTACCAAAAACAAGGTAGAGCGGAGTGAAAGGGCTACATGTGTAGTAGAGAAGGGAATGTTCAATGTTATGCTTTGTGTTCGCGGGAGACCTACCGTCCCCACATGCACAAAATTTGCATGGAAGATGGAGATGCATGTCACACAGACCCCGTCGCCACCGTCAGTGATTGTCGAGGTTGGGTGGAGACTCCAACCTCACACGCTTGCAGGTTAATAACTCCAGGGAATAAAGAAAATGTTTCCGAGGAGCCTCTGCAGGTGGTCTGATCGCAGGTTCCACCGCAGACTCCAAAGAGGCGCTACTGCGGTTCCCCACCGTGACAACGCCACTCAGAGTATGTGACAAGGTCAAAGTAAACTTCATGCCTTACGCTTGGAGAGCTTAAGGAGAGAAGTATGATAATACAGAGTCAATGAACCAGCGTCAGGAATAATCAAGAGAAGTCTCCCAAAATGGCCCAGGGAGCTCCTCATGGACAGTCACGGCACCTGAGTCACCAGAACTTTCTAGGCCTGAGTTTCCTTGACTATGAAACAAGGGACATGCAGATGCCAAGGGGCTCTTCAGCTAATTCTCTGACTCAGGGACACTTACATGCCAAGGAGTTGCCGGGGGGGGGGGGGCGACAGGACATGGGCTGGATTGATGATTATGGCCCAGGAATCAATGACAGATGGTCTCGCCCTACATCATCAGCATCTTTGGAAAAAGCCATAGACGGCAATGACCGACCCAGGCCAAGCGTCTCACGGGCAGGCCCCTGATGCGGTATGTCCTACCTGATGTGGGCCACGGAGGAGAATCCAGCTTCCTCAATCTGAGCCTTCAGCTCCTTCAGCTCCCCCTCAGCCTTCCTCCTCGCCTCTAAGTGCTGGTGGGTCTCAGCCCTCAGGTGAAGTATTTCCTCCTGAAGACCCCTGTTCCCATCTGCTCCCCTAAGGGGAGGCGGGGGGAAAGATGTCTTCTGGGTCTCCACGGCTGCCAGGCTTTTCTCCAAAGCCACCTTGATGACCTGAAAGAGAATTACAGTTTAAAGAAGTCAGGCATCAGGCTGCAAAAGCAGCATTTAATGGTAGTGAAACCTGGACCTAAAATAAGCATCCCCGAGACGTCTCGGCCTGAGGACCCTGGAGGCTGGCATGGGTGGGGAGGACGCACCACAGGGGAGGCGCAACTGTCATCGGGAGCAGGATGAGAGGACTCCAGAGGGCACAGCGCAAATTACAAACACACATTGATGGCTGAGGGTTAAACAGCAACGTGTGGCCGCTGTGACTCTCCTCCTTGAGTGACAGGTTCCGTCTCCTCACAGATCACAGGCCTTGCTAGCATGTGCATCCTTGCCTACGACATCAGGCTGCAACACCAGAGCCCAAAGCCTGAGGATGCGCCCAGAGCTGTCTCCAAAAAGACAGGATCTGGGGTTCACAGCTGCAGCCCCCGAATGTGGGTGCAGCCAAAAGGAAGACAAGGCAAGGCTCACTCCTGCGGGGCCGGCAAGGACCGGGCAGAGGAGAGGCGGCCTGCCCAGCACACATCCCCCCGTTTGGTTCTTACCCCTGAGTTGCGCTGCCAGCTTGACGCCCCTACAGGCCTAAGCACGTGAGAAGAGAGAGGGCAGAAATGTGCCAGCAACACCTTTCTTTCCATTTTTGAGGATTATTCTTGAAGTTATTCCTCAGGGCTTCAACTAAAGCAGAACATATCATTTCCCTCAGTGAGAACTTCTTTTTAACTTTCGGGCTCTTGAGGGTCACCTTGGTCCCTCCCTAGTCTTCCCCCTGCCCTGAAGAGAGTAAAAAGCTGAAAATAATCTACACCAGGTTTGTCTGTTGCAAACAGGATTTTTGCCCACCTGCCCCAATACACCCCTAGGCCGTCTTGGGGGCTTCACTTCACTTCAGGTTAATCTGTACCTCCCAGTACTCCACTCTCCGGGGTAACTATCTGTGGGTCAGACTGCTTCGTTTCTACACAGTCTGACTGGTGCTTGTCAATGAATTTGTTCTGCTTCTACAGCGTCATTTCCTCTGTTATCAAAGTCATTAAAGTACTCGCTGCGTCCCATAGTCACGGAGAGACCTCTCTGTTAGAGATGCTCAGTAGAATTAATTACATGCTTTATACTTTCATGCAGGTTGCAACTGCGTGAACACACCAGGGCCCAGAGCAGCTGAAATGGATCAGTGGCTGATAGAGCTGCCGGCTTGGCTCGGTCAATGTGCTCGGTGCTGCCTTTGGTCTCCTAGCTGAAGCTGGCAGACCTAGGCTGGGGGCATGGGGGTGGGGGTGGCCCACAGCTCGGCTGCAGCCTGGCACTTCGCTGCACACTACGAGGCCGAGGAGAAGTGAGCCCTTGCCAAAGAAGATCCTCGGACACGTTGTTCATTCCCTGGGAATCTGGTTCCACCTGGGGCTGCAACCCTGGGCTCTAGGAGGCTCCTGGGTGTCTGCCCTGGAGGGCCCCACCGCCCGGCGCCATGAGGCCTGTGCCCAGCTCTGCCTGTGCCACCCAGCACGTGGGACAAGCCAGGGAGGAGGGGCTGGAGAAAGGAGCTGTTGCGGCTCACTCCTCTCCTAAACTGTGTGGCATTGTGCTTCTGTACAAATGCTGTCCAGCTAGCCTAACTGGGCACTGCCTCTGTGAACATGGGCACTGGCAGCTTTTCTGAACCTTAAGGGTTTCTCCTGCTTAAAGGAAAGTCACACTTTAATAATACAAACCTACTTTTTAAGTGCTTTCTTTCAGTGCATGGTGTCTTCTTCTATTGATTGAAATATACCTCGTTTCTCTAAAAAGGGGAAATTAGAGTGGAATATTCAGACCAGGGGGGAACTTATGGCATATCCGGTCTCACTTCCCACTTTTTAATGAGAAAATAGACCTCACTTGTGGCCAGGCGAATTTGGGTTTTCAAAATTCCTCTTAGAGGAAGCTGACTTTGGCTAACTCGTCATTAAATTTTCATTCATGACAAGTGACTCAAGATAGAGCTGTCACACAGGTTCTTCTCATCCATGAAAGCTAGTCTGTCTTTCTTTCCCTAGGAAAAAACCCATGGGCTGGCCCTTCCTGGTGGCACAGCAGGTTAAAGCACAGCACTGAGAAGCTAAAGCCACTTCATCATGAGTTCGATTCCCGCCTGCCCCAGAGGGGGACAACATGGTGTGGCAGACCTCTCCTGACCCGCTTGCTGCTCCCCTCAGCAGTGTACTTCGTCGATCTGCCTGTTCTGCTCCCCACTCTGTCTCTGATGAAGCCTTTCACTGCCCCCTGAGCCTCTGGCCTGCACCCCAGTTCTGTATGCACAAATAAATAAATCTTTAAAAAAGAAAAACCTGGGCTCCCAGCACATGTGACATGAATTCTTTAGGGCTATTGTTGATTACCTCTCTCAAAGGTGTTTTTTTCACCTCTCCTAATATCCATGGTGTCACGCAGCACTGTGTGCCGGGACCCTCTTGCCTGCGAGGTCTTGCAGACCTGATCTCCTGCTGCAGGCAGGAGATTATTTTTGTCCCTGTCACTTCCCAGCTTTCACAGCGCTATGTTCTCACAGAGTTGAGGCACTGGAGACCATCTCTCCTAAAAACTCAGTGTCTTAAGCCTCTGAATTTTGCCTCCTTCTTTGAACTTGAATCTTTATTAACTTTTCTCCATTGCAAAAGCCTAGGTGAAGAAACACAGGGATGGATTACTCTAGGTCCTTCCACATGAATTTCCTAGGGGTTAGCTGTAGATCTGACCCTGCTTAAGGATGGGCTCTAGGGGAGACACCTGAGGAGAACTGCTGTCGTGGGCAGACCTGACATTTCCTGATAAGGGTGATTCCAAACAGAAGGACAGAGCAACTTGTGCTGGCCACATGGTGGTCCTGGCCTTGGAGGGTCAGAAGCTGGATGTGTTTGTGAGGGCAGTGTGTGGACGCTGGAGGCTACGAGGACAGGGCAAGGAGCAGCGCAGTCTCCTGACATCTCAAGGGACCTTTCCAGGGAAACAAGCAAGTGGGTTTTTGAGAATCTGGACACGGAACACTTATGGCAAATGAGTTTTATTTAAATGGTAGCAGGAGAGTCACACCCTCAGACTCCAAAAAAGTTGAAGTAAGTTGACAATGAGTTCATCTACCTCCTACCCCGGACAGAAGCTGATCAAGAAAAGGTGATGGGAAGAGAAGTGATGCTTACCCCAGGAATTCTTCATCCACCAGACATAGACCGTCTAGTATGAGTCAAGCCCCGACCCACGGGTTTGTTAACTGAGCATTGCTAAGAATCTGCTGCGCCCAGGGCTAGGGCCCTGCAAGGGGACAACAGGTGCCCCGTGTAGCGGTGTCACCCGGTGCTGAGGACTCACCTCAGAATGCCATCGGGTGGCGCTCTCCACACTAGGCTCTAAGAAAGAAGGTTGAGGACCGGCTTCGGAGACCAGTCGGCGGACCCCTGGGAAGCAGAATGAACTGCGCCCCGGGGTGGTTCAGCCAGTCACTCTGGCCGTGCTCTAGCTGTGCCCTGCTCATCTGCTCTGAAGTTCACCTTGTCCCACAGCAGCACCCGCCACCAGTCACCTGCTGACACCCAATCGCTCCACCTCAGAGCGGGCATCTGCTCCTCCTGGGGACCCCCCTCCTGCCCAAGACGCCCAGGGAAGTGAGCAGTGGGGATTCTGACTGCTGGGCCCGTGGCGTTCCTGTTAATGTGGCGGCATGGCTGGGAGCACTCAGAAGCAGCAGACCGGACAGAGCGGGAGGCAGCTCATGCAGGAACTCGAGAGCGGCACGGGGCAGGCAGGGTTAGATCAGCAAAGAAGGGTCTCGGAAGCAGACAATGAAACGGTGCCGCGGACACGAGCTCATCCGGGACAGGACGGGTCCTCGAGAGCAGACGGCCGCACCATGGCAGTGGGGACTGTTACGTGGCCGTTCTCGTGGGTTTGCGAGCGGCTCCTCTTCTTCCCACACAGGAAATACAGAGGCCGACCCGGACTCCTAACAGTCCCGGCAGCTATCTCTGGAAACCCGGCTGCTGCTGCGGGTCAGGACTGCGTGCTCCCTCGGTGCCCAGGGTCACAGCGCGGCGGGCTCAGGAGGGCTGGCAGGCCGCAGGGCACCCACGCAGGGAGCCGAGGTGGGCATCAGGGTCGCTCTGGGAGGCTGGAGCTCCGAGGTGCAGCACGTGCAACTCTTGGGCTTGAGGACACGCTGGCTAGACCTTCGCCGGCAGCTGGCAGAACTACGGCGCCTTGGGAACACATTCTCGGATGTGAGGGGGGCTTGCTCTGGGGGTGTCACCTTCTGGCCACCGATGGGCCACAGGCTGGGCAGTTGGTCCAGTTGCCCAACACCATTGTCTTTTGTGTGGTGAGATCTCCCAAGAAGGACTCTGCCACGGCAGCGATCCAGTCCTGTCGGAGGTCCTCGGGGGGGACGCCCCCGAAGCAGGGCCAGGCCCCCCCACCCACGGCTCCCTGTCTTCTTTGCTGTCTCTCTGTTACAACAGCCAAGAGAGGAAGCGTCCCTGGTCTTGTTGCAAGTAAGCATTCTTCTGAAGTTAGAGCTACAGCAGACACACGGGAGCAAAGACAGGGAGGGGCAGGCACAGGTGTGAGAGACAGGCGCACCCCAGTGGGGAGGCTGGAGAGAGGTGGCGAGGGTAGGGCAGGCGAAGTGACAGAGGCTCAGAACAGGAAGACGACGGGGACTGGGTCACATAAGACCACGACACCTCCTCGCTCTAAGTGCACAAGGGCTGCAGGGGAGCGCCAGACCCCGAGGGCGGGGAGCCGCCACGGGGCCCCCAGAGCCTGAGACTTACTTGTGGGTGGCTGTTATGTGCAGCCTCCTCTTCAATGCTGTCGGTGAACTCCGTGCTTGCATCCTCGGTGTCGTCGCCTGCGGCTGCACCTGGAAGGAAATCCAGAAGAGAAAGGTGACTCCTTTCACAGATGGCTTCCAAGAGCAGGTAAAATGACCTGCTTTTGCCGTCCGCCTCTGATTCCCTCCTTTCCCATCCGCATGGCCCCGTAGCCAGCAGGGCTGACGGGCGCCCACGTGCCAAGTCTGTGGAGGAGCCCCCTGGCCGAGTCCCTCATGTGTCCCCTCACACTCAAGCCCAAGCCTCAGCCACGAGCAGACTTTCATTCAAGGCCAAGGAAGTGGCTGCCGCGCAGGGTGGCGGCTGCTCCCACCTATTTCCAGGGCACCTCTGCTATTCCTTGACTTGGTTACGTAACAACTTTCACTTCTGCAAAATGAGCCCACGTGACTCACCTTTGTCCCGCCTGCTAGAGCCCCATCAGAGCAGCCCTGCTCCTCTCATGACTCCCATTGCTGGGTCAGTATGCCTGGGTGACAGGAGAGGTCAGGTCCAAAAGCACAGAACGGTCCAGGTGCTTCCTTGATCCCCCTCCTCCCTGTCTCTCAAATTGTGTCTAATGCCAACATTCCTTGTGGGTTTCTTCACCCAAGTGGAACTGAGTTCATTCTTTCGTTCCCCAGAGACGGACACTGTCACCCCGGGCAGACCTTTCCACACTCTCACCAAGGGAGTTTGTGTCTGGCCCCAGGCGTGTTACAGAACTGACCAACAGACATTTTTGCAGTTCTTTGTGTGCACTGAGAAGTGCGGTAGACCCTGGCCCCAAGAGGCTGCCGAACCCTGGAAATGCGGCTGGCGTGACTGAACTTTTAATTAAAGTTCATACAGCTACTTTTGGCCAGTGGCTACCATACTGGACACAGATGTAGGACATTTCTTCCTTCACATTTGTTAGACTAAGACTGCCCAGTGAATTTTAGAGTAAGACCTGGGACTCACATTGTTGATTCATTTTGAAAATACAGGGATGTCTCATGCCTTGTTCATTTGAACACTAAGGAAAACCTACTGCAAATCTCCCTGGATTTTAAAGAACCGGCCCAAGAAGAGAAACTTGAGATCTGGTTCTGACCCAGACCTTGGCAACCAAGATCTTAAAAACGCCTGCTCTCGCTGGGCTCAACCGATTGGGTAACCTGTCCCTGCACAGAGTTAGTCCTGGAATAACTGATTCAGGTTGGATTGACTGGTGAGAAAACACAGCTTTATCATGGTCTTCTTCCAAGACTGAAGAAGCTGTTCCAGAGCCCACACATCGGAGGCTGAGCAGCTCCGAGTGGACAACGAACAGTCACCACATTCTACAGAGGGGAACACGGCCGATTCACACCTGCCTTCCCTCTCTGGCATCTGACATTTGTATCAGAATATTGGCAATGATCCGGTCTTCCTTAAATTACTAAAAGGTAGTAATCAGCATGTTTTTCTAACTGAATCTAATGACAAATTCCAAGGACGTGGTAACTTCATACAACAGATGTGATGCTGTAGCAAGGCAGAACCCCGTCCAGAAGCCCTACCCACAGCGGGCACCTCTGTGACACTAGCTTGGAAGCAGACGCTGCAGGCAGACTTCAGCACTTCCTCTTTCAAAGCAGCCCAGAACCACCTCACTCGGAACACGGTTGCTTGGGGCTGAACGAGCACCTCCAAGCCGTGGCTGCAAAGGAGATGCTCGAAGCCAGGCGGCATATCCACTCAAGGCCCTCCATGTCTGTGATGCCTGCCTGAACAATCTTTCCCTGCACAGCAGGAGAGCTCAGGATCATTTTTTCCCTGCAAAGACAGTGAACTGTCCCACTGAGGGACAGAGGAAGAGAATATACTTTGCACAGTGACTCTGAGTGCTGGACTAGAAAATTGTCCTGTAGTTGGAGAAAATTCAGTTCTGTGTGGTCATGGCCACACCGTTCTTAGTGGTTGTGTAGCCAGGTTGGGCCACATCCAAGATGATTCCTGGTCTGGGTCTCAGGAGCAAGGTAAGCGGGGACTGACCGCTAGTAAGCGCTGGTCACCGGCCTTCCTGCTCCCCGTCAGCCTTCCTGGTGGCACACACGCATTTCTAGGTAAGGCGCTCTCCGGTTCATTCAAGAGCAAGAGTCCTCGGCTCTGGCTTCAGGCCTTAAGTGAAGACAAGGCACAGGTGCCCGTCTCCTGCCAACACTCTGCCCGCTGGTGCTGGTGCTGCCCCTTCTTCCTTGCTTAGCTACAGTAGCTTCCGCAGGGAAGCTACAGGCATGGTTCAGCCTCTGGACAACTTTCAAAATTATTTTCTTATCAATTCGAATTAGAATGCTGAAAGCAAGTGTATTTGAGGGGTAGACTAAAAGTGAAAATATGTTATAGAAAATACTGGCATGAATTATCCTTTATATCAATTTCCATGAGCCATCCCTTTTCCCATTATCAATTCTTTTTCAAAACCAATGACAACAGAAGAACTTCTCTGTCTTGGAGTCAGTTTCTAATTTAAAGGTATGATGCTTGATAATGATGAATCTACTACATTTTTTTATATAAATACGAAATAAAGTGGTCTGTTACCTTAGAGACTTTGAAAGCTAAGAATCTGATCATTTTGATTTGTGTCTCTAGGTGTGGATATTTTATTAGAAACTTTTGAGGCCTTGATGCTGTGTCTCAAGTTGTGGTTCTTACAAATTTCTCTGGCTGGAGATGGCACTGATATCTCCCCCTTTTTTTTTAGATTTAGAAAGTTATTTTCCACCAGCTATCTTATTCTATAAAGCACTCAGGAATAAAGTCAGTCTCTAAAATACAATAAAATCCTTGGGCAAAAATGGATGTTTTGTGGGGCTTTTCATATTGAGGAAGGTGAAATTAAGAGCCAGGAGCCAAACTGTTTACACAGATTTCTGCTCCGCTGTTAGTTCAGTTTATGGCAGCCACCACCTTCTCCTAACTCAGCTTCCGCTCTCCTTAGAGCTGAGTGACACCCAGCTGGATGTAGTGAACTTGGACCGAGTTTGTTGCTTCTGAAGTGCTTACCACAGCGCCTGGCACAGTGTGTGCTCAATAAATACTGCCCTTAGTGCTATTGTTATTGTCGGTAAACAGAGGCAGCTGATGGGTTTCTCAATTTAGAGTTGAAAAAAGGTGGGGGGGAGGCATTGAGGGTTGTAAATGTAACCGGCAGAGGCATGTTTTCTACCCAAGGTAGTGACTAGGTGACCCTGACTGAAGCCACCTGCCCTTCACCTCTCTCAAGTTTCTCTCAGCAGGAGACCTTGAGAGAATGCTCTGATCTCCTCGCTTCACAGCACAGCTGAAGAACATGGAGTTGTCAGTGAAGCTGGATGAAATCCGGTGCTTTACAAGCAGCAGCCATCATCAATTGCAAGGCGGG